AAACTAAACACATTTTTGCTACAAATTCAGTTAATTTTAGTTAGTTTTCCTTTTTTGTTTTTATTTTTATTTCCGTTAACGAAAATATTTTTTCACTTCTAGTTTTCGTTATTTCGTTAGTTTTCGTTAACGATAATAACCTTGGTGCTGACGTCTGTTTGAGTGAATCGATCGGAGCTCTGACACTTTGGATGTACTGGACGTTCAAATTGAACAGTGGGAATCGGGATCCTGTGAAATCCTGATGCACGCTGATCCATCTCCCAGTCCGGTTACATTACGTGATAAAATGAGCTAATGTACAGCAGACTAATGGGACGAGAGCAGGAACGCCACAGAAACAAACATCCGGTTTTCTTTCGTGCACAAATGTGATTTTCCAAAATATAAACGCGCTGCCAAAAACCCCTCACTTAGCTGATGCTGTCAGTCCAGGTGGTTGTGTGTTTGTGATTGTGTTCACTGATGAGAGGGACAGTTATTCTGCTGTTGTTGATCAGTTCAAACAGAATTTAGTTTCAAAAGCAGAGTGAATCGAGAGAGGCTGCCTTCGAGCACACGCCAACCAAAAGCCTCTTTATGCACTCGGCCTGTTTAGCCGGGTGAGTGATAGCAAAAACCTAAACATGCGATCATGCACATGAGCACATCTGTTGCACCGGCCTCAGTGAAAGCCTCTGTTCTCACTTTAAGGCAAACCTACAACCGACGTGTGAAAATGTGACGGCTGGCCGAGGGTCCGCTTCGCTACGATGTCCTCACGTCAGCGGTTTAAACTCAATCGGGTCCTCACTAGGATAGCGAGACAAGTGCATTCACACACAGCCACACGTGCACGCCAAGAGCAGAGAGATTCGGTGGTGAATGATGAGCTGCCACTAAAAGCATTAATATATCATTAGTATTGATTGCCATCAGACCCCCTGCTTTGACTTACACACACACAAATACTGTACAGGCACACGTGCACAAACTCGCAGATACAGCACATTTGCTCCAAGTTTATCAAGACACACACACACAAACACGCACGTGTGCACGCTTGACACACTATTGAGTTGTGGTTAAGCAGCCTATAGTGGTACAGAAGGCTCGCATCTTTACGTGGATCGATACAGAGAGCTCTTCTGGCCTCGTGATTACTGAGGACCACTCCCTTCTGCAGAGAAACACTCGCTCAAGCTCTCGCCGTCTGATTACAATCTTGCTCGTTTCCTGAGATTTTGGATAAACGAAGGTGTGTTTAGTCACATAATTAACTGCTACGTGCTGTTAATGTTGGAGCAAACAGTTTGTTTTTTATTTTTCCATTTGACCACTGAGAACACAGAGCAGCAACATGTCCTCAGCCGAATAATGTGAGCACCAAAACAAAAGTTCTACGATTAGCAGTCTTCTTCCTCATCACACACACGTAAACAAGCATCACGTCGTTCCCGGTGCTCCTCGTTTTGTGATCTGATAAGTCAGTGAGAGCATTTCTGAAAATGACCTTTGCTTCATAGCAGTAACTATGATTGTAACTGGTTTTTAACTACCAACAAGCAGGCACTGGAAACAA